ATAATATTAATTATGTACCACTTAATTCATTTGTTAATTAGCTTCTTGACTTTATACAATATATAAATACTTTCATTTAGTCATAAATGAATTTCATGAAAATCCTAACTATAATACTACACCTGTTGATGAAGACTAATACAATACTTCAGTTTTGCTACAACGTGGAATTTTAATTTTTATTAATTTATGCATACAGTGCAACATACTGTCAAGATGTACAAGATAATGTAAGTGACTGTGGGATGCTAAGTGCCTAGATAAGAAACGAAAGTGAGGAATGTTATAGATCCTATAGATCGTCCGGCAAACCACAAAGTTTCTAATCTCTATGATCAGTTCTAACGACGATCCTGGGTTCTAGGATAATGCCGGGGGCAAAAAAGTCCAAATCATATCTAATACAAAGAGAGAGAAGTAACGTAATGCAAGGGTTAAAATAGAAAATTCAAGTTGACCGGTCCGTGGCATCGCTCATCCCGCCACTCGGAGTGGTAATTAATTTCACGATAATTAGCGGCGATGTGGCCAGCTAGCTTGGCCGCCGTGGTCCAAGAATATAATTATGGAATAAATTCTCCAGTCAAAGGTTCAAGGTAATAAGGCCATTACCAACGTTCTGGAAAATATCCTTTTCCCTTCTCTTTCCCCTTCATTTATTCCTCTTTCTTCCCATCTCTCGCACCTCTTCTTTCTTTCTTTCCATTTTCTTTTACGTATACGTATGACGATAATACTTTTTATTTATTCATTTATCACTTATTTACGTGTTTCTTCTTATTTATTTGTCTACTGTTTAGTCTTTATTCACATAGTCCTTATTATTTATTTATTATTTATTTATTTAGTATTATTTACTTTCATATATTTATTATTTATTATTTATCATTCATTATTTATTAATAATTATAATAATGCATCACTCGATATTTTTTCTTCGTTGAATATTTATTATTTATTTATTGTTTACTCAATATTCGTTTGTTATTTCCTTTCTATTCATCCATTCTTTGTTTATTACGTTTTTACTATTTATTCATAATTTATTTGTTTGTCGTTTATTATTATTTATTTATCATTATACAATAGGTAAATAGTAATATTATATCATGTCATTATTATTTATCTATTAATGATACGTACTGAAATTGAATTATTATTGTTGGCAAATGCTACATGATACGATGCTTTCAATAGTTACCTATAGAAAAAATATTTAGAAAAGGATATATCAATTAAGCGTACGCCTTTATTGTACGGAAATTAAGTATTCTGTTTTTTGTTCAAGTGTGCCATATTTTACAACAAGGAAGTGTACTTACACAGAAGAATGTGCTTGTACACGATGAATCCTAACCATTACCCGATAAAAATTACCAGTTAATATATTTTTCAGTCAAGATTACTTCCATTCGTTCCAACTCCCTAAACCATAATTAAGTCCTACCCAACCTAAAAACTTAAAAACAAGGATATGGAAGAATAAGGTATCTCGATTGTCACCATATGTGAAGTAATATATTAACGAAATACCTTGTCGGCCAACGTTTTCATAAAAACGAAATTACCCCGGAAAACCTCCCCGCATATTAAACTGGAACCAAATGTAACAAAGTTGAAGATGCATGTTAATGCCTCTGTACAGTCACCAGCAAAAATTAGTAGTCGGTGTAACGGGATCGCGAGTGGTGCACGCTCAGAAGGGGCGTTATGCTCGTTGGAACAGGTTGCCATACCAAGAGAAGCTCTACGAACGATTTTAATGGCGGTACCTGTAACTTTGTGGTCGAGAATTTGTCGCCCAGTCAGGATTCATATGAACGAAGAGTGCCGGACAGTCTCGTAAATCTTCGTCGGGGCTCCTGCGCCTTGCTCTTGCGGATCCTCGAGGAAGGAATCGAAGTCTGGAGGAGGAAGACTCCTTCTAAGCGCACAGGGTAAACTACCTGACGGTAATTGACCCCGATCAAGATCTTCGCTCTAAAACAACACTCCATACTAGTTTTCACGCTTCAAAAGCTGGTTACTGCAGATCCACCGTATCGTAAAACGTAAAATAGTAGCTGATATAGAAAGGTATAGTACGTACCGATAATAACTATTTCACAAACCTGATTTTTTTCGAAAGGCTCCTGATTTTCCGTCTCTTTTGTGTCACTTACATGTTTTCCGTAATATTATTTTATTTTTTACTTTTAATTTAGTTCAATTTGATTTGTCACGATTTATCTATAGTTTGACAATTCTAATTTTGCTTAGAAATATTTCTGACTCCTTTTGTTCTCCTCGTAGCAATTTCATGGTTTCTATGATAAAGATTTGTTCTGAATTTCTAATTCAATTTAATTTGATTTAATTCACGTGTATTTTGAAAAGTTTAAATTTTCTTAGGAATTTACCTGATTTCTCTTGTCTTTGTTATTGTACTTACATGCTTCGTATGCGACTATTTTAGCTTATGATTTTATTTTACTTTAATTAAAATTTAGCGATTATAAATAATCCTACTTTAACTTTAGCAGTTTATCGGTTAATAATATTTTGAATTAAATGGGAAGTATTTTCAATTTAACTTTAACTCAATTTTTTATTTTTGCAATACTCATTTAAACGATCAATTACCTACTTTAGAATTGACTCGTTTAGAAATTTCCTTACCTACAAACTGAAGGAATTAAAAATCTCTTTACATCGAATAAGCAATAAATTTTAATGTACATGGATAATACGAATATAATTTTGATTCTTCTTCTTCCCTATATATTAAAACTCACAATCGTAGTAACATTTTCGATCACTCGTAACCACGAATGCATGCCAAGGTACGTATCCCGTGCAGCTCATAAGCAACATCATTAATAATAAACCTTAAGCACTTCCACGAAATAAGAACCGAGGAAACTGAAACACATGTCAGTTTCGACATATCGTGAAATTCGTGCTAGCAGTCCTCCTTATCGACAATTATCAGTCGTACACGAGTACCTGGATACAACTTAGTTTAAAGCGTCAAGGCATTCTTTATCTGTCGAAATGCAACGTCAGACGACATTCGGGCGTCGGATATTTATCACAGACTCCACGCACGCTCCGCGCACAGGGAGAACGTCCAGTGGCCCTCGAGTGCCCCTTACGCGCCGCTTTTTCAACAGAGAAAAAGATAGACACGCATAGACAGAAAGAGAAGGATAAGGAGAAGGAGATATAAAAAAGAGGGAGACAGAGCTCGGATAAAAGAGAAAAAAAAAAGGAAGGAACAGGGCATATACCTGTTCCACGCGTGAGTGCACACACGCACGCACACAGGCGCAGGTCCACGCGCGCTGTGCGCGCGCACATCCTCCCCATACACGCTCCCCTTAAGCACGAGGCCCGGCAAGCACGCGTGCGCCCTAGTGCACGCACGCACGCATGCACGCGCACGCTTCGTACGTAGCGGCTAAACCGAGCGGCCGGTGGTGGGGGAAACGAGTGGATGGTTGGGGGTCGGCGCGCGCCACGACGCGAAGGTGGGGAGAACGGCTCACGTCGTCCACCCCCTGCCCTCTTCACGCCGCCAGTGTGCCCAGAACGCTGCTGCCCCCAACTTCCCTACCTCCACTTGGGCCCACATATCCTGCGAAGCCCCTTACTCCGCTCGCGCGGCCGGTACCATCTTTCTGCCGTAGCTTCTCTTCAGCCGCCACCCCCTCCTCCAGCTTCTCTCATCTTACTTCGTCTTCTTCTTCGCCTCGCATCTCCTTTTTCTCTCCGACTCGCTCCTCTCTATCCGAGTCACCGCCGCGGCGTGCGCCCGTCTCTCTCGGCCAGCTCGTTCGGTCTCTGGACCAGCTTTTCTTTCTCCCGGTAACTGTTCAAATTTCGATCCCTGAAACACCGGCCAGTCGGTGGGGATGTGGACCCTTCTTGCGTGCGTGCCAGTGTCTCTCACGCGTGCACGAATTTTCGGGGATCGTTGCGAGCTGATTTCGGATTCCAGAACATACGCATGCGCCATGCAGATATCTTCGTATTGCTCCTTTGCCGAACTTCGCACCGAGTAGATGCCTAGCAGGTGATAGCGCGTCGTTTGCACCGTGATGTTTGTTTTTAAGTCGATACTCGACGTTCGAAATTCCGATTCGTATCATTTCCAGCTACAATTCTCGTTGATAACAGGACGAGTAAATAAAAAAGATTCCGAATTCTTCCGAATTAAATACTCGTCGCATCAAAGACGCGTTTCCATGTACCAAATTATAGTTTATAATTAATTTTCCTTCCTGTTACGAATATCATTTTTACCCGTGTTAAAGAACAGACTCGTAAATGCGCGCAAGTGTGCAGCTAAAATAGGAAGGCGAGCACGAACCGCCACGAATTCCAAGAAACGAGAACCATGAGTAGAGTTATCTGTTCGATAACGACGAAGGGTATCGTCTTTAAATATCCAAATCAGCAAATAGATTCGAACGGGCACGCAAAAGCACGAGGGCGATTCACGAAGATGAGAATCTCGGGCGTTGTAGGGCGTTTGGATCGGCAGTGGAGGGGACACACAGGGGTATGAGGCGCTGCAAGCCAGTAGGGTGGGAAAGAGGGGGAGAAGATGGGGGTTTAGGGCCCGAGATCGAGTATGAGGCCCAGTGGTGGGGATAGGCGCGTGCCCGCCCTGGCTATATAAGGCCTCGAACCCTTCTTAGTAAGGCATTTCGGGAGCCAGGTCCGTACTGTCAGCATCAAGGGTGCGATTTAGTTTTCAACTTTCCTAACTCACGTAACCATTCGTCTCGTTTCGAACGTGTTTTATTTTGTTTTCCTTCTGCATCCGTTGGACGCGTCGCGCGTACACGAGTAAGGTGTCGTCAGAGAAGGGGGTATAGTTAGAGAGGGTTAAACCGTCGTAGTAATCGGTTCGCAGACTAGTACTTCGAGTACATCGAGGATTCTATTTCTCAAGGTCATCTGGCACGCGCTGCCGCGCACTCCTGCTCTCGTAGTGGGGGGATCGAATCAGTGATATGACCTTAGTGGGATCGAAGGAGGGGAACGTATTGCCCATCATGTTGAGCGTACAGCAACAGCATCATCACCACAATCTACACGGTTCTTCGACGACCAGTGCTCAAACACATCGCGGCAATGTGATTGTTTCCACCAGCAGTATGCCGGCCAATGACATCAAGATCCAACAACACGGTTGCAAGCGGTCCAAGATTTACGGTCAAGCGACCGGTCCCTATGGCACGGTTCCTCATCAACCGGCTTCAGTCGCGAGGCGAAACGCTCGAGAACGAAATCGTGTCAAGCAGGTGAATAATGGATTCGCCACATTGAGGCAGCACATACCCCAAAGTGTAGCACAGGCACTCGGAGGAAGTACGGCTGGCACCCACGGTGGATCTAGAGCTGGCAGTAAGAAACTATCCAAGGTCGAAACGTTGAGGATGGCAGTCGAGTACATCAGGAGTCTTCAGCGTCTGTTGGAGGAGCACGACAGTGGTTCGGATGTCACGAGTATATCGTCACCCACGTCGTCATCGCCTTCCTCCACTTCTTCAGCCTCGTCCACGTGTAGCTCCACCAACGGAATAGGCGTCGAGTCCAGTCACCACTCTCCCGAATTGAGACTTCGCGGCAATGTCAACAACGAGCTCAGACATCACGGTAGCTCCGACTTGCATCGACATCAACATCTACGACAGAATCCTAGCCCGACCTTCGTGCCAGCGCCCTGTTCAGAGGCCTCGAGTTCACCAACGCCTAGTTTCGTTTCCGAAGCCTCGTCAGCTGGCAGCCAGGGCTATGGAACATCGGGCACGCTCTACACCGCGCATTCCGATGGTTACGACAATTACGAACCCATGAGCCCCGAAGACGAAGAACTGTTGGATGTCATCTCCTGGTGGCAACAAAGTCAATGAGAAAACCGGTGTCTACGTCGCCTCCGATTTGGTCCATTCTTCACCTCTCAGGTTAGTGACGTGACTCTTTCTATTGTTCTCCTAGCATAGGTACCATGCCAGTTCTCGTACGATGAGACAGCTCTTCGACGTCTTTTCGGTGAATACCTTCTCTGCTTCTAGACCTGCTCTATTTCGCGAATTATTCTACGTACTCCGAACGTTTTCCGATCACTCCTGTGTCCATTGACAGCTTCGTTGCGAAATTTGGAATGAAGGAGGCAAAATGCTTCGGTCGAACACGGTGATCGTGGAATATTTTCACTCGCTTTTCTCCAACACGAACACGTCGCTTAATATTTCTCGCATGGACGGGCACGAAAGAGATGAACCTCGAAGTTATGCGGCCGAAAAGAAACGTTGCGTCACATTCAGGATTTTTTTTTCTCCAAAAGCTTCTCACCTCCCTCGCTCCTCGACGACCGTAAATTTTGCCCGTGAGGTAACATCCGCGTTACCGAGGAAGTTCAAAGAAATTTCCGACCAGATTTGTGACCTTGCCCTGTCACAATGGCGCGCGCGACCCCTCGCTGAAACTCCGGCCATTCAAATCGCAGACTCCATTCAGAGGGGCACCGAGTATACATTCGAGAAGCGACGCTTTTGTACCCGATTTCTTTCACCGTGTACTAACACGCGTGTCACCACCCGTGTATGTGCGCCGGTCCTTCTACCGTTTTTTCATCCCTCCTCACCCTTCAACTTTCAGAGTCGTCCAATTCGTCTCCTCTGAAAATTTTGCCACCTTCAGCGAGAGCTTTGTGCAACGTTCCATTGGAAGCATCCAGTTCCCGCGGTTTCCATCAACTGTGTCCACTAACTCCTCGTTCATCCTGATTTCCACCAATTATCTCTGTCGGAATAATCACCGTGAAATTTCCCGTTTATCCTTGTCTTCGAAGACTATGCTTGTTCCAGCAATCACCGTAATGTTCTCCTAGAGTCCTAGGGTACCACGGGTTAATAATATTTGCACAATAGAAAACTTGCGATATTTTCGATGATATTATTTTTTTTCTTATTTAAGCCAGTTGTATTTTAATATATTTTTCATACAGATTTATATTTATATGAGATTGTATTTATATAGAATTTATATTTTAATATATTTTTGTATCTACGTAAAGTTATATTTATATTATACACAAATAAATTATATAGAAATAAAATTGTATGTTATGTATGTCTTTTATTTCGTTGTATTTTGCACGATACAGGGTGGATTGCATAACGGGAAGAAAAAATGTGAATTAGGTTTGGAGAAACGATAGTAGTGTCTTTGTAGGTCGCTCTTCAGGCGCGTTAGGTTAGCGACCCTCAAAGAGTGAACAGAGGAACATCGATCCGAGTTCATATTCGAGTCTGAACTCTAATCTTGATGGACGTAACTTTTTCTGACGTTCCTTTCAAGCTTCCAACATTTTTTCCCGCGGATTTTCTTTTCTCAGCTCTTTATCTCGCTTTGTTTTCCGGCTGGTTCTCTCCTCTTCTCCTCTCTCGCTGGCTTCTCTCTCGCTTTCTTTGACAAGAGACGATTTCGTCTGGTGCGTTTAACCTGAATGCATCTTTCAGGATATTCCAGTCCCCCTTTTGTGGGTTTTTGAACCGGTACGCTATTCTTCCGTCTTTCTCTCCTTCTGTCTCTCTCCTCTCTCTTTTCGACCGTCTCCTTCGATTTCTTCTTTTTCGCTCTACCCGTGAAGAGCGAGTCCCTTCCAGTAAAACTGCCCTTACCTGAAATCATCCCCTGCTTCTCTTACTTCTATACCTGTAGTGTCTCCTTACCGACCTTCGACAGTCCCAATTTCCTCGGGAATAAATTTATAAACTGGTATCGGGGCCTTTTCGTTATTGTCGATATCCAACAAAACGAGCGTGGAATACGAGACCCAGCGAAAATAATTTTTCAGCAGAAATTTTGCCACTTTCATTATGCATGCAGTGGTAACGAAGGCTAGGTTCTTGCATAGAGAATGAAATATTATGTCTTTGGAAAAGAAAATTAATATTTCCTAAACTAGAAAATTATTATTCAATATTAGTATCGTTAATCGTAATTGTCGTAAAAGGCAAAATAAAATTCTTCAGAGAGAAGAAAAATTACTATTCAGTAGAGAGTGAAAAATATTGCTTAAAAATAATTAATATTTCTCAGAATTGGAAAATAGTATTTCTATAAGATAGGAAAATTAATATTTTTCAAAGGAGAAAAATGAAATTCCCTAGAGAAAAAATTAATATATTTTAAAAATGAAAATTTATTTCCTTGAAGAAGAAAAATTAATTTTTCTCTCATATATATATTATTATCTACAAATCAGAGCAATGTCTTTTAATCTAATGTAATAAAATTAAAAATTTCTTCTTCGTTATTTTGCAGGAGTGGCCAATTGAGATACGTATGATGAGCAGAGAAAAGGGCCGAGAGGAGACGACAAACAGCGGCTGTTCCACGCACTGTGATCTAGTCATATCAATATTGTACATTTGTAATTTTACGAATGGAAAGAGCCACGTTTTTACGGTTAGATTAAGGGTAGTTCTTTGCACTAGAGTCGAGATGTTGGATTCACCATCTGATGACTTGTACGTACGAAACGGGTTTTCGATGATGCTTGTTAGAATATAGAATTTAGGAATGTCGTATCGACGATTTTCTCAAGAAAAATCTCACGTTTGGATATCCTTGAAGGATGTAACATTCCGGAGTGCCTTACTGGATTTCTTCGTATCTCGCGCCAACTTTAACTTAAAAGATATTCAACTATATAGATTCTCTCATTACGATTCTTCTATTTCCAGAAGAAAATTTTATTTCGTTTATCTGAGAAAGGAAAAACGAAAATTCGATTAAGAAACGTTTCAAGGTTTCGGACGTTGGTACTGGAGTAACTGATTTGTTGTAAATTTTATAAATATTATAGACGTTGGAAATATTAATTATTCGATCGATGCATGTGACGAAGCATCGGGGAAATAAAATATTTATATCGGTTCTCGCGCCATTATTTAAAACATTTCTACGGAACACGAATATCCGAATTGTATTATAATTACCTGTAATGATACTGTACATAATGTGTATAACGAGTAAAAGTGGAACGGACAAATTGCATTAATTGATGTTCACATTGGACTAAAATTGAACTAAATTTTATCCAGCTAGTGCCTTCTTGTAAATAAATAATAAAAAGTAATTCGTTAAATATATTGAACAACGTTATGAATAATATTCAAACGATTTCTTTTATTTTCCTGCATTTTTCATTTTTCTCTCATTCCTCAAAAATTCTTTCACCCCTTTGTTACTTATTGAAACAATATTTTATTTAAAATGTAGAAAATTTCAACTGTTTCCTTTTTTCTAGAGAATATAATTAATGATTTCATTATTTTATGGCATTATTGTAATGGTATTACAGCAACACTGTTGTAATGAAAATCCTATAGTAATATATATTATATATTTATATATGTATTATTATGCTCGGTTAATTTTGCTATAATAATCTACTACTTCTCTAATAATAATATTAGTACTGCTATTATAGTAATTTATTAACAGCTTTATTTTATCATACTACAATTACGATTTTCTCCCAATATCTTTTATCATTTAAACAGGAAAAAATTCTTCCTCTTACCATATAAAATTTCCGTGAAACAATTCGATATACCGAGAAGTAGTAATACCATAAAGCGAGTGCAAGGAACAGGATGAAACAAAAACTGATCCTCGTCGAAATCCATGAAATTGTGCGGTGATTTATTTCTTAAGGCATGGTCGCTGGTAGAAATTTTCACGAAACCTTAGTTACACCTGACTTCGTAGCAAAGTCAGGTACAATTGCGATTACTTGCCGGACCGAGCAGGAATCCTCGAGGAATACTCATTGTTGTATAGTAACGGTACCCAACGTTGTCAATGCGTCTCGATCGTCGAATCGATCCTCTCCGTTTCCAATAAACGAATCGCAACGACTGGTGTCATTTCGTGTTCAGGTAGATTCGGGTTGCTAACTTGTCCTAACGGACCGATAGCCTTAGGTACAAATCCCTTGGCCAGGTATCGATCGATCGTCTCGATCGTAAAGTTTTACTGTGGATGAAAATGGCGACGAAAACTCGTCGAACGCTTTACGAATTTATGAATTATTTTATTCTCCTTTTTTTTCGAGTAGGTGCTTTCATTGGGGTAGATATGACAACGATGCACGTGGAAATTTTCCTATTTCATGGCGTTATTTTGTTTGTTTAATGGTTAGTGGAATGAGACAGTGTTTTCATAATTTTAATAATTTCATAATGGAAAAATATATTGATATATTAATAAAAATATATTAATTTTCATAGGGGAAGATATGGCAAGGATGTATGTGGAAATTATCTTATTTAATAGTATTATTTTATTTGTTTGGTGGTTATTAGAAGGAAACATAGTATTTTTATAATTTCAATAATTTCATAATGGAAAAATATATTAATAAATAAAAATATTTTAATATATTAATAAAAATATATTAATTTTCATAGGGGAGATATGGCGACGATGCATGTGGAAATTATCTTATTTCATGGTGTTATTTTATTTGTTTAGTGGTTAGTGGACTGTGACATAGTGTTTTCATAATTTTCATAATTTCATAATTGAAAAATATATTAATTCGATTCTTAATGAGAGATGAGATATGAGTCCCATATTTCTGAAAATTTTAAAGAAGGGTTCGATTAATTATTATATTCATTTTTGTTTCATTAGTCGGATGTTTGATCGAGAAAATTTATGAGAGGAAGACTTACCTGGTAAAATCGTGTTTCAAAGTATTTCTTATTTGTAAAACAGCGATATTAATGGAAGCATTATACAATGGATATTGCATAATATTTATTTTTAATATAGAATAAGGCCATAATAAATAATTGACAATAACAATGGAATAGTCGAAGAAAGATTCCATCTC